ATTTGGATGTTTATGTTGATCCTCTGAAAAGTCAATGGACCATTCAGTTTGTCCCCTCCCAGGCAGACTTTATGCTCTCAGGAGCTCTCTGCTAGGATCTACACTAGTCAGGGTCATTTTTCCCTACCACTGCAGGGACCTGAGACACTAGTTCATTTTGCTCCCCCCTATTCTCAGCCTGTGACACATAATAGTGTAGTCTGCTCTGTGAGTCTAATTTTGGTTGCTGGATTTAGTGGATAGGTGGTGGTGGTGGCCTGTGATATATAAGCGGTCAGACTAGATCATCTGTGGTCTCCTCTGGCCTTAAACTCTATGATTCTCTATGTCTGAGTTTAAGCAAATCTGAGATCTCCTCATTTGATTGTGGGATGAGGAGGGTGGCCTTTCCCATGTAAACAATCAATCTCCACCAACCCATACTTCTATATTAAAGTGTGAGATGGGGTGCACAGGCAGGGATGGGTTGGGCAATGTTTGGAATGTGGGAGGAAAGAAGGGATCCAGAGACAGGTACATCTAGGACATTTTAGCTCGGTCCCTGAAGCAGGAGAAGGAGCCAGCAAATAAAGAAGCTAGAGAGGAAAAAGAACCTGCCCCCAAGTGACTTCTCGCTTAGAGGACTCAACAAGGAATTTCAGCTACTAGGGAACGCCAAAATGTTTGAGCTTGACCCTGAGAGGCAGTCAGGGGTCACAGACCTTGAGGCATAGCAGGCATGAGACTCAGCTTGCTCACTCACACATTGTATGTTCTGGAGGAAGGGTAAGTAGGAGCGTGTGCTGTAACGCTGCCTTCTTGTGGGGGGCCTTCCCGACCTGGCTACTGCAGGGTTTGCAGCCTGAGTGAATCTGGCTTATTATGACTTTACAGGGCCTATTTGGGTCAAGTCAGAAACACACAGCCTTTTTGTATCGAGGCTTTGTGTTTGTTTTTTTAAATGTCTTGGGGGAGGGGTTTTTTGTTTCAATTTTTCATGGAAGCTGGTAAAACATGTACAGTTATCTAATAGAGCCATTTTGATCTATCATTTCAAATCACATTTAAGCAGCTTTTTATGTTCCCAATAGGAGCTGTTCCAGTCTATGGGATAAGTAGGTATTTAAGCAATTAATTTAAATGGTTCTGCACACCCAATAGACAGTAACAGCTTACAGAACTGCCATTCCAGCCTAACAGTTAATTAGTTATTTACATTTTTAAACGCATCTTTTTAACACAACAAACCACGATTTTTATTGTGTAAATATATATTTAGCATGAAAATACACATGCATGTAATAAAGGCACTTGTGTCTTCATAGTGTATCATGCTGTGATAAACTTTAATGTCTCTGCCATTTTCCAAAGTACCTAAATTAATTGCGCCATAATATGACTAATACTTTGCCAAAGTTCATTTTTTTTAAAATTGAGCCCTTTCCCTCCTGCCATCCACACTGGTAAAGGGTGTGTCAGACTCCTTCCTAGCGGTTGGTCCTCTAGAGGATAACGGCACTAATGAAGTTACTCCGTTAGCTCAAGTGGCAGAAGTCTGTTCTCTGGTGCTGTAGAATTCCAACCCATGCATGGATGCATTGCACTAACAGGCATTCTAAACCTGAGTGTCACTGTGGTTTTTGGCATCGTGGCTGTGGTTATATAATAACTTGCACTTATATAGCATCTTTTATCGAAGAGTCAGGATCGATGGCACCAGACATACCAACGGTCTCTCGGGGGAATCAAACCAGGACTTTTCAACCCCATCAAACTCAGGCCTCCATCACAAGAGTTCAAGAGCATATTGTTATAGTCAATAGGGCCATTACTACAGATACAATTTAATGCACTAAGCCAATGTATTACATGCAACTCTCAAAGCCCTTTACAGACATTAAGGAATCCTCACAATGCCCCTGTGAGACAAGTAAGGATTATTATCCCCATTTTACAGAGGGATAAATTGAGACCCAGAAGTGGAAATTTACCTAGGTACAGTGGACCATCATAAGGTCCTCCTCATTATGTAGCCCCATTGTGGGAATGTGTGGGTATCTGGGGACTGTGAGCAGAATAGCTGGTATCAAGAGGTTTCTGCACTGGTCTGAGAGGGAAAGTGTGATTAAAAGTCAGGAAAGAAGCCATTGGATCCATGACTATGTCGTTCTAGTGGCAGGAACCCCAGCCTATGCTGGTTTCTCCTAGAGGGAATTCAGTTCAGCCCCATGCCCTGACATGAGATAGCTAGTGGCATTCACATTCCCCTGCATAAAACCTGATTACTTAGATGCTAAAAAACCTTGCAGAGTCAAACCATACTTCCTATGGTGCATGTTTTTGATCAAAGGCCAATATATTTGGCACTAGTCTCCCTGATTACTTAGGCTTTGGGCAGCAGTGTGTGTGAATGTCACCTAGATAGGTACTGCAGATCAGCAGCAGAGGTGTACACAGCAGCACCCAGGAGTCCTGACTCCCAATCCCTTCCTCCAGAAAACACTCCTTTTGTTCAGAGAGGTACCTTGTGGGAGTAGATGGAGGTTTTAGCCCAGAATTTATTTTTATCACTGAATCAGTGTCTTGAAAATAAGGATTTATAATGCAGGCATTTTCAAACCTTGACTATAAGCAGTACTGTGAATAAAATTACCCAGATAATAAAAATAACTCACTGATTCCAGATGAGATTGGGATAGAAACTCTTTGCTTTGAAGCTCAGAGTGTTCTACACTTTAAGTGAGTGCTTTGCTAACAAGCCACAGGTGAGCACTTCATGAACAGATAAAGCTGTGATCATGAGGGTGGTTTTGTAGTCATTGTACATTCAGCCTCTGGTGCGCTGCATCTGTTGTATTATTAGCTGGTTCTTTTATTGATGGCTTTAAAGATCCTTAAGCATGGGGGGGCTAGTTTAACAAAAAGCTGGAAGAAGAGGAAATATTAACAAAGTGTAATGAGGTGACATTAGGTAATTAGGTGTCTGCAACATGTGAACACATTAGAAGGTATGTCAGTCCATACTCCACAGGCTCCATTTAAAAAAAGTGATGTGAGCCCTGAAGAGTAAAGTCCTTTTGTTACAGAACAGGCAGCAGAAGTGTGAACTTGCTCACATTGTTCTGCCATGGTGCCTCAGCCCTGAGCTGGGGACCTCGAGGAGTGAAAAGATGTCTCACACTCTGAGCCTATTCAATCCCTGGCCTCTCTGCTGAGGCTGTCAACAAAGGTGCTAATTCATATCAATTGTGGTGAGAGTTTTTTTTTTTTTTTTAAATGTGGACATCTGCCCACTAGCAACTGGAATGAGACTAGCAGCTTATTTCAAATACTGTAGGCCACTCAATACCATCCGGTGGTATTGATGACTGATCGCTATTGACCTGGGCCAGATTTAAATTGGTGACCCAGAGGTGAAAGTCTTGGTATCTGTGATCGGTGTCGGTCCGCCTACCCGCTAGGGGGCGGTGGGGAGCTACGTCGTCACGGGCTGGCCGGGGTTACGCCTCCGCCAGCGGGGAATTAGCAGCGGAAAGGCTGCCAGCCAGAGTCTGTAGCGCGCCCCTCAGGCAGGGGAGCACCGGCAAAGGTCAGTAGCGCGCCCCTCAGGCAGGGGAGCGCCGGCAAAGGTCAGTAGCGCGCCCCTCAGGCAGGGGAGCGCCGGTAAAGGTCAGTTGCGCGCCCCTCAGGCAGGGGAGCGCCGGCAAAGGTCAGTTGCGCGCCCCTCAGGCAGGGGAGCGCCGGCAAAGGTCCCGGCGTGGCTCGGCCGGGTAGGGGAACGCAGGCCCACCCTACACCACTGCGTTCCAGCCCAGGGCCCTGACGGTGGCAGGACGAGGGTCCCGCCACTGGATCAGCGGGGTCCCTCCGTGATACAGACTCACCACTGTGCAGCTTTGTCCCTGGGCTACTTCCTACCCGATCGCTCGTCCGGATCCCTCTGATCCCGTCAATGCGTCGGGGTAGTCCGCTCTTGGCAGCTCCAGCTCCCCCTCAGGCTCAGGTTCCTCCAGCTCCCCCCAGTCCTTGGCTGCTGGCAGCTCCAGCTCCCACTCCGGCTCCTCCAGTTCCCCTGGGTACTCGGCAGCGGGCAGTCCTGGCAGCCCCAGTCCGTCCTCCCGGTGCGGTTTCCACTGGTCCAGGGCCTCCCCTGGCGCAGCAGCAGGATCTGAAGGGAGCAGCTCACGGTCTGCGTCTGCCTCCCTCCTTGGTGCTGCTCTGACTGAGCTAAGGGCCCCGCCCTTTATACTTCCTGTTCCACCCCTCCCCTTCCGGGGGGTGGAGCTAGCTTGGGCTGGCCCTGCCCACTCCGGCTGAGAGAAAGGCCCTTTTACCTCCAGTTCGGAGGGCAGCCACCCTGGCTCCCTACAGTATCCTATTACCAATTCTCCTGAGCCAGCCTTGGATTGAGAACTGCTTTAACACTTAGAAAATCCACCTTTCACTGAAATGAATGTCAATGATGATTTTAATGGGAGTTTTCTGTTATTCACGTGTGTGCTGTTAGGGCCAGGTGAATAACTGTGCTGATCTGTTGGTGGGAAAATCGTCCCTGTGCGGACCTCAAGCATAAACAATTGGGGAGTTCTGACAATATTACATGCAATTAGAGCACTGACTGTTTCTTTTCGGTCTATATTTTTATGTTGATTTTAGAAGCAGGGTTGTATTTCTCCTGTTTGTTATTCAAAGGTCCTTCCTATAGGGGTTCCTGAAGTTGTTTTGAAAGTGCCTATGCACTTTACATGTAAAGCAGGAGAAACCGAATCCTCCTCCTTCTAAAGCCTCCCTTAGGCCCAGCTGGTCGACAAAGTTCTGAGTGTTTAAGGATCACAATCACCTGTGTGGTCTGTACCATTTTGTTCCCTCTTGTAAACTCCTGGCATTGTGGTATTGGTTTGGCACAGTTCACCTTCTGCTCAGTGCTGCGTTCATCTATGGCACTCTGTAAATGGTTCTCTGCAATAGTAATGGCTAGTGAGTTTGAAACACCCTCCTGATTGCTTTTGGAATTGCTTCAGTTCCTTTCAGGTGTGGATGCCTGGTGTAAAATGTGTAGTGAAGGAGGCCTCCCATCGGAAATGCAAGACCTGGAGCTGGCCATCCATCATCATCAGTCTCTGTATGAACAGGTGACCCAGGCCTACACAGAGGTAAGTGTTTCCAGGAGAAGAATTTTAACAGCTGCTAACAGATTGCTTAGCAATAATATCTATACGATTATGCATTTTGGAGCTATTTTTAATTGAATAAATCAGTCTTACTTTCCACTGACTCATTGATATGACTGCTTAGTAGGGATAAAGCTAATAAACCTTTAAAATGGTTCTCAAGAGATATGTGATCTTTTTACTCATGACTTCACACAGGAGGTCAGATCTGCTCCCAGGCTGTGGGCCTCCAGTGCAGTAAGTCAATCTGGAGCAACAGCACAAACTGTAGCCAACCCCCACACCTCTGGGGTACCTGTAGCCAGCCAGGGCAGCTCACAGACTGGCCAAGAGACAGGCTGCTTCATTACCTTTCTTAGGCATCCTACAGTAGTGGAGTTGCTATATAGCCCTGACCAAATTGCTTTCTGTTTGGAGTGAGTCCCTGCTCCAGTGCAGTTATTCTAATGGGGGGTAGAGGGTATAATTTGATTTACTTTGCACGCCATCCGCTCTTTTCACTATCATCAATGTCCCAAGACAGGAAGCCACGGAGATGCCAGGTCCTTATCACAGCAAAAGATGTAAAAGACTGTGCCTTAAAGTTATATCCATTTGTATAAGCTGGCTCTCAGTAGAGAAATAGGCTGTCTCAGATCTAAAGAGCTTGTGTAAAAAGGACGATGTCAAGGTTGCTAAGACTAAAAACTGCCTTATGGCACTTTGGCAAAAATCCTATAAAGATTTTCATTATGCTTTTGCCCCGAATTGATCTAGGCTGCAGCAGGAAATAACCCTCCACAAATAGCTGACATTCAGTGCAAATCACTGCAAACAGACCAGTGCCCATAGTCTGTCTGCTTAGCATGTTGAGAAATAATCTACAGATGTCATAATTTGCTTAATGCTTCTTTTTTCTCATCAGAGGGTCTCGTTTCTTGTTCTTCACTTCCTCACACTCAGAAGGCCCTGTATTATTCTTGACTAGCTTTCTGGCCAAAGAGAGCTGGACCTAGTTCCTTACAGTGCTTGCAAAAGCCTCTCCCAAACTGGCTAGTAGAAATATGTACAATAACTGTAGTAATAGTCACTGGACCAGTCAAGGTACCAGGCAACAGAAAATCTGTCTGGAGGCTGAGCACTTCTCCTCTGTTGGGCAGTGTAGGTTAAAATGTGCCCTGTGAAGGCCAGGAAGGCAGTGTAGCCAAGGGAGCTGGATGATGCACTGATTCAACTCCTCCCTAGCCTCTGCCAGCTATACAACCCCCAATGGACCTTAAAGCTGCCCTTCCATGCCAGAGCTTCCAGGAGAGGATGATGGTTGAAATACTGCCTACCCTCCCCAGAGAAGGACCCTCCAGGGTTCAGTGGCCTTCACTGGAACAGGCAGGTGGAATCTGTCCCTCTGTATACCAGCAGGGGTAGATCTAGCTCACCCTCCTTACTTTTTCCATCATATAAATTGTGAAGGACTGATCTCTTTTAGACGTTTAGAAAGAGCTTCTTTCTTTTCCTGTACCAGACAAAGAATATTCAATTAAATATCAGCAAGATAAGGAAATGTGTATATTAAAGTCTCTTTGCATAATGTATGCTTAAAAGGTTCTTAAATAAAGCCCACTGCTACATCTTACATTATATGCCCCTGATATTTCCGTCTTTGATATTGAATCCCACAAATCTGTGTTAATATAAATAATAGTTAACTTTCAAGTGAAGACTTCAGAACAAAGGCTAATGCTCTGTCCCAAACTCATCCTGCTGGATACCTGCTTAGAGAGATCATCTTTCTTATTCAAAGTACCTGAAAGCACTTTCCAGATCAGTTACATTAGCCAGAGGGCATTGCAATGATTATGGGACCATTTGTACAATGTCTCCCCAGATGGGACTGCTACTGAATCTTGTACAGAAGAACTGCAAGTGTGGCAGACTATATAGGCAAACTGAGAAAATCTTGGTGACTTCTTGAAGTAACTAGGACTGTTATGGGTTTTGTCTGTTCAGCGGAGTGTTAATATTGTTTTTAAACTAAGTTTTGAGTAGATTTCCTTTTTTAAAAAATATTTATTTCTAAAAATAAAATCTAAGTGGAATGCATTTTTAAAGCAAGCATTTACCCATTAGCCTACAGACCTTAACCCTTCCAATATGTATGTACATTTTAAGGCCCTTATTAAATGCAGCCTTTAAAAATGTGTATTATTTTTGCTGCAGCTTCTTCTGAGATGATTATAACTTATTAAACATATAGTTGCTTAGATCATTTAAATATTACATTCCCAATAGATTTATTTGAACAATTTTAACAGAGGTGAAGTTGAGTCTGTTACCTCTGAATATGTTCATCACTTGCCCAAAGCCAACTGGTGAGTTGCAAAGCTTGCATTGTAGTTCAGGCGTCCCATCTCCCATCCATGGGCTTATTCCTCTAGATGATGCTTCCTGTCAACATATTATAACATTGTCACCTCCTCCTCCTTGATAGGATAGTCAGAGTGCTGAACTCTCAGCAGTGATGTGAGAATTGTGGCATGGACTATCCTTTCCTTTTCTTCAGAATGGTTGCAAATCTCTACGTATATACTCTGCAATTCAATAGTCATATTTAATGCAATGGAGGGTGCTCAGGAGTCAGACCTCCTTCTTTGAGACAATGCACATGACACTATATTGCTGAAAGTTTCTGTTACAAGGTATTGTGAAGCTTTTTGGGGCTGCTCACCAAAAGCTTCATACAGTGCCATTAGAGCCTCACTTTCACTTCACTGCACTTTTGCTCAGGCCCTAAACATATGGGGCCTAGTTTCTGCTGCATCCAAGCAAAGCTCACAGATAGTGAATGCAGGGGAGGGGAGGAAGGACTGACAGCGAGTCAGTTCAGTTTGTTAGCTACCTAGGTCTGACCGCTTTAGCTTATGCTGCTGGCAAAAGATCTTCCACCATCAGAGAACTGGGGTTAATGGAGCCCTCAAGAGGCCCCTCTACACCTCTTATACTGGGCGGGGCAACTCTGGTGGATGAGATGGTGGAGCTGATGCAGGAGCCACCATCTTTATGTCCCCCTCCACAGGCGGAATTTTTCAGGGGTTTCTCTGGCCTGTGGGAGTTTGTTTTATACTGCCAATATGATCAATGAATGTTGTGTCACACAAATATAATTGAGATGCCCCCTTTAGTTCAACCTGTTTTTTTTTTTTTTAAATCACTCTTGATGTTAGTACTGATTGCTGGGGAAAGGAGAAGGATGAGGAGAATACAGGATTCTAGAGTCAAGCCCAATTGGTGTTGATGAGTACAACATCTTGCTAGATGTGATTGCATCAAGTCTAGTTCATTCTTTGTCCCAAGAGGCACAATGCATCTGCTGTGAAGACCATTCCCTGACTTAGCTCAGCTATATCCACTAATGTGCAGAGGGAACCTTAGTCTGGTCACTTGCTAGGCTCTCAGCATTCTGCAGGCCCAACTGGTAGGATACTTGGGATTTAAAATTCATTTCTAGCTATATAAAAAGTTCATAGTAACACCTAGCTGGAGAGTCTGGGAGCCAGATTGTAATTTTCAATGCAAACAAGAAAGAAGCATGACTCAGACTAACTTGTTCATATATAGAGTTCTCATGTATAATTCACAGGGGGTGAGATTCTTCCTGGGCGTAGGTACGGCATGAGGTCTATGCACATTTAAGCCTTCAAAATAGGGTATAAGTGCACTATTTGCATTCCATAGGCCCTTTGCTTATTTTCTGCACTGGGTGAGTTTTACCGATGGTGCTCAAGTGTATTTCCCATAGATTGGCTTTTTTTAAAGTTGTGATGTGACCTGCTAAGCAGGAATGTTAATGCTTCTGTCCTTGAACAATCCTTGAAAAATGCAAAGCATTCACATGAAAGGCAATTCAATGACTTATTTTTCAGTTCTGAGGAGAACTCTGAAAGTGATTGAAAAAGCACTGTATCTTGCTACCCAGACTGGTGAAACTATTCATTTATCTTTTCAAATCCATTCATTAGCAAATCTTTCAGTACACAGCTCTTTCATGTCCATTGGTTGGGGGGTGGTATAGCATTCATAAAAGAAACACTTTTGGAACAGAAACTTTTGAACCGAAGAAAGGTCGATGAGTCATAGAAGGTGTGAAGGACTTGGAAAAACTCCTGTAATATTTTATGAATATTATGTGTACCTCTGTTTGGCTATTATTATTTATTTGTTATATAATTACCAAGAGGGTTAATTCCAGCAGGAGCAGGTTGGCAGGAAAGCAGACCAAGACTGATACTTAATGGGACAATACAGGCATCATTCCCTTTGAAGTTTAGCTCTGGCCTTATGGGAGGTAAATATCGGGTTGGTCCCACTGGGCAAAGGGCGAGCTTCTAACCTCACTGTGATGGGTTGGATCACAGAAACCCTCTGGGGGTTGCCACCTGATGTGCCAAGACTACTTCTGCCCCTGCTTTCCTGCCCTGGCAGCTTAGGACTTCAGTGCCCTGCCTGGTTTGAGCCAGACCCGCTAGCCTGCTGCAAGCCCAGACCCAGGGTCTGAACCACGTCCCCTAACAGCTGTAGGCTTAACTGAAAGCAACTTACAGAAGTGTTCCTGTCTTTAACACTCAGATGTCCAACTCCCATTGGGGTCCAAACCCCAAATAAATCCATTTTACCCTGTATAAAGCTTATACAAGGTAAACTCATAAATTGTTTGCCCTCTATAACACCGATAGAGAGATATGCACAGCTGTTTGCCCCCCAGGTATTAATACATACTCTAAGTTAATTAATAAGTAAAAAGTGATTTTATTAAATACAGAAAGTAGGATTTAAGTGGTTTCAAGTAGTGACAGACAGAACAAAGTGAATTACCAAGTAAAATAAAATAGAACACACAAGTCTATGTCTAAGAAACTGAATACAAATAAAACCTCACCAGTTCCAGTAAGCTTCCTTTTACAGACTAGTCTCCTGCTAGTCTGGGTCTAGCAATCACTCATACCCCCTGTAGTTACTGTCCTTTGTTCCAGTTTCTTTCAGGTATCCTTGGGGGTGGAGAGGCTATCTCTTTAGCCAGCTGAAGATCAAATGGAGGGGCCTCCAAGGGGGTTAAATAGACTTTCTCTTGTGGGTGGAGACCCCCTCCTCACTCCTATGCAAAGTCCAGCTCCAAGATGGAGTTTTGGAGTCACATGGGCAAGCCACATGTCCATGCATGACTCCGTTTTTACCAGCCAAGCCACATTCCTGGGAAGGGTCAGATGTGGATTGGCATCTTCAAGTTCATTGTTGGCTAAGTGGTTTTTGATTGGGCACTTAATTTGCACTTTTCTCAAGAAGCTGAACAAATGCTCTACTAAGTTAGTTAAAATCAAGCAAGTATACAGCCAATATTCCTAACTTCAAGTACAAAAATGATACATGCATACAAATAGGATTAATAGATTCAGTACTATAGATCATAATCTTTACAGAGATATGTTACATGGCATGTGTAGCACAAAACATATTCTAGTTATGTCATATATACATTCATAAGCATATTCCATAAAGCCTTATGGGGGGAACCGTCACAATGGGGTTGGTCCCACTGGGCAAAGGGCCAGCTTCTAACCTCAGGGGCCCTTCAGGTGGGAAGCTGAAACAAAGGCCTTTGAAGTGGATACAAACCTGAGTCTCTGATGCTCTGGAGGGGGCGGGGAGCAAGATTACAGGTGAGCGGACTGTCCCCTTAGACTCAGGGTTGGGTACTGGGGTAAGCTAGATCTACCTAAGCTTTAGGTAAGACAGATGCAACTAGACTGTTGTGTAAGAAACCCTTTTTCTTGTTTCACTGTGTTCCTGCTGTTGAGATTAACGGTTACTTTGTTTGGTTTACTGTATGTGCACATTGATCACAGCTCCTAAAGGGAAATCTTGTAGGACAGTTGACTTCAGTTGGGCCTGCTTGAGCACTCATGGCTAGTACACATGGTACTGTACCCCGGGATCCAATTTAAAGAGAGTGAGAATTGTGGGACGGATGAAGGCAAGTGGCCTAACACCTTAGGGGACTGCACTTACAGAGACTGAGAGGGGCCAAAGGAGAAGCTAGCCCTGAACTTCGACAGAACATTTCCAGAAATGTTCTCCAGCATAGAGCATGTCCATAAATGCAGTTTTCAGAGTGGTAGTCGTGTTAACCTGCATCAGCAAAAACAACAAGGAGTCCTTGTGGCACCTCAGAGACTAAAAATGTATGGTCCACCTGGTTATCCCCACTTTGACAACATTATTTGTATATGCCTCTGCCTCAACTTTCTCTGCTGAAATCCTCATCTGTATCATCATTTTCTTTTGCCATCCCTATTGCAACTCCATCGTCTGTGTCCCCAGCAGGCTGCAGCTTCCCTGACTCCAGCATGCATAGATTGCTCCTGCCCATTTTCATGAGCAAAGGAATTTGAGTATTACCCCCCCACCCCCCCACCCACAGAGCTCCCTAATCATTTCCAAATCTAGTTCAAAACTGTCCTTTGTGTTTATAAAACTGCAGAGATTTGCCATAGCATATTTTACAACCATCGGTGACCTTCTGTTCCCGGTAAAACCAGTATAAATCTAAAATAATGCCATTGATTTCACTGAAATTATTCCAGATATATTCTCCTGTAACTGATTGGGAAGCAGCATGATCTGTGGAAAGTGCATGGGATTGGGAATCAGGAGTGTCTGACAGCCTTACTGTATGACTATGGGCAAGTCACTTAATTTCTCAATACATCAATATCCCTATCTGTAAAATAGGGATAATGACACTTACCCATCTTTGAGAAATATTCTGAGATGTACTGATAATACTAAGTAGTAGAAATGGTCAGAAAAACTTTGAGAGAACCATTTTCTATTGAAATCTAAATGTTTTGCAAAATCATGTCAATTTTGCCTAAATTTATTTACGGAACTAAAAAAGAGAATAAAGTTCCAACAATGTTGAATCATCCTCTTCTAACATTTCCATAACTAAACTTTTGTTTTGTTTCTATTGAAATGACTTTTTGATGAGAATTTTTAATTGTTTTATATAATATCATTTTTAAAACATCTAAATTGAAATGAAACTCTGATCTGAAATAATTTTTTTTCTGGAATGTTCTTTTGTGAAGAATTTTGAAATGTTCAGGCTTTGTTCCTAATTGGAATGAAAATATATTTGGAAATCTCAAAAGCCTCTATAAAACTGAATTTGCATTCTGTCCGCAGCTCTATTTAGTACTTATAGAGTGCTTTATATTAGTAACTGATATCAGAGCCACACATTGACTATCCATGTATTTCTCAAATCCCCTCTTACAAGACTCCAACACCCACATTTGTTAAATTAAGATAGTTGTAGTTCATTTACATTTTGCATTTTATGGCTGAAATTTTCAATGGGTCCCATGAAATACACAAGAAATACAATTTGGATGCATTCTTTTGCATGCATAGAAACCCTTTGTGTGTAAATGCAGGGTTTCGTATGTGAAAATGATTTCACTTGCAACATTTGCATGCAAGTTTCTCAGGCCCATTGAAAATGTAGGCCTGTAATTTTCTCTGAACTATTCATGGGGAAGAAAAGATACTTTGGAGAAGGTTAGTACTACCACTTACTAATTTATTTTCTCTTAGCTTACTGAGTGAAGGAGAGCATGAATTTCACCTTTTGGAATTTGCATTCATACGTCATAAGCTCACAAAGAAATGACTCTCTTTTACCATACCGACTGTGAATGTTTTAGTCATCTGTGTATTTCTGAAAATGCCACCTCCTCACCAGAATGTGTCTATATGTCTCCTGCCTCCAAACGCCACTCATATCACAACATTATTTGTCAATTAATTTTCAGTGCCCAAATGTCTGCGAAACATGCAGTAGTTCAGTATCTATCTAGGTATCTGTTGCCTTATATGGATCTGTCACTTCAGTTCCTGAGGTCCTACTGAGCAGCACAGTAGGTCCACTGTGAAACTGAGGCAGGTGATGAATACATAAGTAAAAATCAAAAAAATAAATTGCTCAAGGTTTCCTGTCTTTTCCTTCTAACAGAGCCATGTATTGGGGTGTGGGTGGCGGGGAAGAATTGGGAAGATGAGACTATTCTTGCTGCAAGCTGTCAGATGTTAAAGAAAATGTTATCAGCACCAATGAAGTTGTCCCTTCGAGACTCAATCTTTTTCTTTCAGGTAAGCCAGGATGGGAAGGCTTTGTTGGATGTCCTGCAGCGTCCCTTGAGCCCTGGAAACTCTGAATCCCTTACTGCTACTGCTAATTATTCCAAGGCTGTCCACCAGGTCTTGGATGTGGTACATGAAGTCTTGCATCACCAGCGGCGCCTAGAGAGCATCTGGCAGCACAGAAAAGTCCGATTACATCAAAGGCTGCAGCTCTGTGTTTTCCAGCAGGATGTTCAGCAGGTAATGTCATATGTTAGAGTGGTGAAATGAAAGTCTGAAGGACTAATACGTGTTATGGCTAGATCTCTTTGTAGCCATTAAATTTGTATGGTGACTCATCTGGAGGATATTTGTTACCACCCAGTATTATTACATATGCTAGATACACAGTACTATCCTATTCACCATTCAGTACTTTTCAACTAACTTTCGTAGAGTTCTTCATGTCAGATGCCACCATTGATAATGTAACTTATAACAAGAGACCTTTGGTAAAATGTTTAGAAGGTTAATAGCTTTTGGAAGTAGACAGCTACAGCATGTGCTTTAGAAAAAGATAGGTAACAGAAAAAAGGTGGGTGACAAGGTTTAAAAAAAAAAGGCGGGGGCTGGGTGGAATAGTTTTGAATTGCCCCATTTTCCAGCTTGCCTTATGGAAACAATACATATTGTTCAACAGAGTTTAGGCTCTTCACAGTAGAGCACAATCTTTTTTTTTTTTTTTGAGTGATCTCTGCATATTCCAACTTGTGGGCTCCAGGTGCCTGCAGTGACAGCCAGTTGATCAAACTGCACCAGCAGCACATCCCATGAGTGTAAATGTGCAGAGTCCATGTCAAAGAACTTCAGTTGAAAGTCAGTAACCTTCATATATGCAGAGGTTCATTTTGAAGAACTTTGGTTACAGATAAGTTGCCTTCAATTTCTTAGGGGAGTAGCTATAAGAATATGATAACTAACAATAATCACAAGAGTTCCATGCTAATAGCTGCCCTTTTGTACACAAGCATGAAGAACAAACATTGCAGGAGTCATCTCGCTTCCAACTATGTGGTATGTTAAGGGGAAGGCTACTGGCTAAAGTTGTGTGCTGCTAATATGGTGCCTGCTGTGAGTGAAGGGGCTGTGGGTTCTAATCCTGATTATGGCATATATTAAAGTCCTTTTTTGTTTGTAAGTCACCTCTTTACAGTGAAACTCAAGGAAGAGGTTGAGGGAGTAAGCTTTCATAAGCGTGTGAGGAAGGCAGGAACTGAGAACTTATAGGGACAAGCTAGCAGCCCCTGTGATGTTCTCATGTATAAACAGTTCGGCAATAGAAACAGAGAGAATTGATAGCATAGCGCTCCCTTGCAAATAGATACATTTCTTACCAGGCTTGAGCATTGTGGGCAGCTAAGGTGAAAAACATTACTTTTGCTCAGCTTTTATTTAAAATCAAAATATTCACAACCGTGTTAAGGCCATAACTATATAAAAGAGATGCTTAATTTAAGGAACTTCTTACATTATATGTCAAAATATGTATGCTGTATGATAATGAAATCTGGACGCTGAATATTAAAGCATCTTTATATGATTGAGTGAGTAATGAGTTTCAGTACTAGCATATACTGGAAATGTCTGAAATCCAAAAATGTACTCTGATGTGACATCAAAGTAAAACATGCAAAATTCAAGTAAATATTAAAGTTTGTATAGGAACCTTCATTCACCCGTATGTCACAGATTGTGCTACATTCCAAAGTGGATTTGTGAGTAGCCTAAGGAAGACTAGTCCAAATTAATGTAAGAGACACCTTCTTTCAGTATTTTGGGTCAAGTCCTGCCTCCCTTACTCTGGTGAGCAATCCTGCTGAACTCCATAGGACTACTCGTGGGGTAAAGCAAGCAGGCTTTGGCTTATTAGTGAAACCCATTCAGTCCTCTAGTCTCCTCCTCTTCCAGTCAATGGGGAATTTTGTCATTGTCTTCAATGAGAGCGGGTCTGGGTCCTTGGTGTGTATTAGAACTGCTACATTCGTGAAAAATAAATTTCACATGAGCAGAATCATTTTAAAATGCATCACTGCAAAGCTTTGTAGTGTTCCATTGGCAGCAATCTTTCCGAATTTTTGTTATAATGGATAGTTATTATCTAGGAAGCAGCAACTTAATGACAAATGAGTTTCTGTCTTGGCAAACACTTACTGTTAGAGGCATCTTTTTACCCTGCTTATAAAATGGGAAGGAAGAGATGAATCATTTTGTGCTTTAAACATCTTTAGTGTTCAAGATAAATGCATCATAACTCAGTAAATGAAATTACCATCTAAACAGACTCAGAAATGTGAGATAAAAGTTTACACAGGGAAAAAAGATTTTGGGATATGATTTGCAAAATGGATCAGTATTCTTCAGGATCATTCCTATAGATCTTGCTTGGCACAGGCACACCCTGCTACGATTCTTATATTGGCAGGAATAGTTTAGGTCTGAATTCTGTCACTAACAAATTAATAAGTATACAGATGAATTAAAATATATATTTGGAGATTGAAATGTACCAAGTAAGGTAGAGGGATGTCCGAGTCCATCAAAAAAGTTGTCTAAATGGTCTATGCATGATGCCTCAAACTTGCAGCTTAATATTTTCAGACACTTTTGGTGGCAGGTTGCCCTGCCAGATGTCTAAATGTGGCCTATTAGCACTTATTTATTTTGCAGCCATTATTCCCTTCCCATGAAACCTCTCAATCCTTCCTATAGGAAATACTCGCATACCCCTCCAACAGTCAGAGTGATATGTTTGATCTTCTCTCAGCTCATTGCCAGTTCTGCTCCTTTGATTGAAATTTGATTAGTTTGGCTGCTTCTCAGGGAACACAGCAGCAAGCCAGGAGACAAATACTTTATTTGCAGATAGAGTTTCCTTTCATGTACAGAAGCCCTGAGTCAGCTGGGGCAGCTACAGGATACTACAAGGAACCATGCCTCTCATGGCTGCTGAAGGCTAAGTGGGAGAAGGGCAGGATGTCAACTAGTTACAAACAAACTTTGGTCTCTGGCTAGGAAGCAAATCACTAGGTGACAGCGACTTGGACAGTGGTGGCCCTGTCTCATTTCTCATTATTTGAGGACTGTTTTTGAGAAGGGCATGCTGGACACAGCACCAGGCTCACCTGGACTTTTCTGACTTCATAGATACCTGTTATCCTAGCTTTATGCCCAAATATATTAACAGAGACAAATTTAATTTCCTTGGTTGACTATCTGTCTCTGGACAGAGGCCAGGTGTTCATGTTGATATCATTACATTTATTAGCAGCCACTGGTATGAAATGTTTAAGGTATAGCTGACACATCTGTAGGATCTTGTAGAGTGGATAGGGTTGTTCTTCAGTGGCTCAGTGGGTTGTGGGGGGGTAGCTGTCCATCCCCTCTGATGTGGTCCCATTCTCTTGCATCTCCTGTTCAGTGTATATATGACACTACTTGGGGAAATTGTGATACATATGGGGATGCAGTGCCATCCGTTTGCTGATAACCTTCAGCTATACATCTCCTTCTCATGAAGTAGATACCTGGCTTTCTCAGATAGGTCCTTGTATGAGGCTGAGCCAACTGATGCACAGTCCAGAAAAAATCTTGAGGTGGTGCTGATTGGCAGAGGGAGCAACTTGAGAAATTGGGCGGGGGAGAGGGGAGATTTGTGACTGCTGATCCATTGTTGGAGAATGTCCACCAATTGTCTAACAGGCTTGCAAAATTGCAATATTTTTGGATCCCTGAGGTGTTCTTGGATCTGAGGTAGCTCATGCAGAATGCACCTGTCAACCTTTTTAGTGGAGTTAGTCAGTGTGAGGAGATGCATTTGTGTCCCAGGAACTGCAGTTCCACCTGCTTCTTTATGATCAAGCGGTATCAAGTGGAGTGCCCCAAGGGTCGGTCCTGGGGCTGGTTTTGTTCAATATCTTCAATAATGATCTGGAGGATGGCATGGATTGCACCCTCAGCAAATTTACATGCGACACTAAACTGGGAGGAGTGGTAGATACGCTGGAGGGTAGGGATAGGATACAGAGGGACCTAGACAAATTGGAAAATTAGGCCAAAAGAAATCTGATGAGGTTCAACAAGGACAAGTGCGGAGTCTGCGCTTAGGATGGAAGAATCCCATTCACTGCTACAGACTAGGGACCGAGTGGCTAGGTAGCAGTTCTGCAGAAAAGGACCTAGGGGTTACAGTGAACGAGAAGCTGGATATGAGTCAACAGTGTGCCCTTGTTGCCAGGAAGACTAACGGCATTTTGGGCTGTATAAGTAGGAGCATTGCCAGTGGATCGAGGGACGTGATCATTCCCCTCTATTCAGCATTGGTGAGGCCTCATCTGGAGTACTATGTCCAGTTTTGGGCTCCACACTATAAGAAAGATGTGGAAAAATTGGAAAGAGTCCAGCGGAGGTCAACAAAAATGATTAGGGGGCTGGAGCACATGATTTATGAGGCGAGGCTGAGGGAACTGGGATTATTTAGTCCGCAGAAGAGAAGAATGAGGGGGAATTTGATAGCTGTTTTCAACTACCTGAAAGGGGGTTCCAAAGAAGATAGACCTAGACTGTTCTCAGTGGTAGCAGATGACAGAACAAAGAATAAAGGTCTCAAGTTGCAGTGGGGGAGGTTTAGGTTGGATATTAGGAAAAAAATTTTCACTAGAAAGATGGTGAAGCACTGGAATGGGTTACCTAGGGAGGTGGTGGAATTTCCTTCCTTAGAGGTTTTTAAGGTCAGGCTTAACAAAGCCCTGGCTGGGATGATTTAGTTGGGGATTGGTCCTGCTTTGAGCAGGGGGTTGGACTAGATGACCTCCTGAGGTCCCTTCCAACCCTGATATTCTATGATCTGTCATATTCATAATGTGTCCATCACTGTAGTGACTAATCATGATGCTAACCTATAGAGCCCTATGATTTGACACTGGGCCACCCTTAGGAACCGCCTCTCCTTGAATATACTAACAAGATATCAGAAATCAGCTGAAGTCCTATTGCTGGTCATTCCTATATGCACATTTTGGGGGACTTGAAGTTGGGTGTCTTTAGTGGAAGGCACCTGGCTGTAGAACTTACTTCTTCCATTTGTCTGCGTGAGCTGGAGTTTACTGGCTTTTAGAGCCCAGTGCAAGACTCATCTTTGTAGCCAACCCATCACTTGATAATTCACTGTGGTTGGTTGGAGTGGTCAGATATGTTGTGGGATG